TTTTATAAAACTCGAGAATCGTTTTATAAAACTCGAGAATCGTTTTATAAAACTCAAGAATCGTTTTATAAAACTCGAGAATCATTTTATAAAACTCGAGAATCATTTTATAAAACTCGAAGAATCGTTTTACTCGAGAATCGTTTTATAAAACTCGAGAATCATTTTATAAAACTCGAGAATCGTTTTATAAAACTCGAGAATTGTTTTTTAAAACTCGAGAATCGTTTTATAAAACTCGAGAATCATTTTATAAACTGAAGAATCGTTTTATAAAACTCGAGAATCGTTTTATAAAACTCGAGAATCGTTTTATAAAACTCGAGAATCGTTTTATAAAACTCGAGAATCGTTTTATAAAACTCGAAGAATCGTTTTATAAAACTCGAGAATCATTTTATAAAACTCGAAAAATCGTTTTATAAAACTCGAGAATCGTTTTATAAAACTCGAAGAATCTTTTTATAAAACTCGAGAATCATTTTATAAAACTCGAGAAATCGTTTTATAAAACTCGAAGAATCGTTTTATAAAACTCGAGAATCGTTTTATAAAACTCGAGAATCGTTTTATAAAACTCGAGAATCGTTTTATAAAACTCGAGAATCATTTTATAAAACTCGAGAATCGTTTTATAAAACTCGAGAATCGTTTTATAAAACTCGAGAATCGTTTTATAAAACTCGAGAATCGTTTTATAAAACTCGAGAATCGTTTTATAAAACTCGAGAATCGTTTTATAAAACTCGAGAATCGTTTTATAAAACTCGAAGAATCGTTTTATAAAACTCGAGAATCATTTTATAAAACTCGAGAATCATTTTATAAAACTTGAAAAATCGTTTTATAAAACTCGAAGAATCCTTTTACGAAACCGCAAAAAACCGAAAAAGCCGTAAACGCGAACTAGTCACGACTAGTTCGCCCATCGGCGAACTAAGCCGGCCCGGCTTAGTTCGCCGATGGGCGAACTAAAAATCACCCCACTAGTTCGCCCATCGGCGAACTAAGCCGGCCCGGCTTAGTTCGCCGATGGGCGAACTTAAAACTCCTCGGACATCCCGCGCCTCGATTCCCGCATCCCCGATTTAAAACTTACGTCTTTCGACACTATCGCATTCTAAACTACGGCTAAAACGTCTCTTGTTCCATCTCAATCCGACTTACCGTTCGAGTTTTACGATAAAAATCGTAAAACTTCGCTTTCTCGGAAAGAACTCGAGAAAGTCGTATAAAACGGCAACGGTTAAACAAAACACCGAACATTGCCTAAACGATACGATTTATTCGAGATTTCTCGTTAAAATCATAAAAACGCGCTTTTTAATAAAAAACGCCGAGTAATTCGTAAAAAACGCGTTTTTTAATAAAAAATGCCGAGTAAGTCGTAAAAAACGTGTTTTTAATAAAAAGTCGAGTAAATCGTAAAACTTCGTGATTAACTCGAGTAATTTATTAAAAACGACGTCAGATCAGGAAACGATCCTGTAAAAAGTCGGAAAACGGTTTTTATCGAAAAACGGCCCGGAAGGACCTAAAACGCGATAAAAACCCATCCCGCGATTTCAATGGAATCTAACCCGCAGATTTGATAACTTTTTGACGGTTTACTCGCAGAAGGAGAATAAAGGCAAGTTTGAAGATAAGTAGAAGATTTCCGCGGAAGAAAAGGAAGGATCGAGAAAAATGGAAGATTCCCGAAATACTCAAATCCGGCAAAATGGAAAGATTGAACCGTCAAGGCAAGGAGTATATAAACCAGAGGCGTGGGGGAGAAGAGAGGGACGATTTTCAGAGCTCTCATCTGAGACTTTTACAACTTTTCTACACTTAGAATTTTCCGCACTTAGAAACTTAGGCTTTTTCTCGACAAGTTCGGTTTCTATGACTGGCATTCAATTACTAGACAAACTCGCCTAGGCAGTTCGATCTCTTGTCCAGATCTATCAACTGAACTACGTTCGACTTGATCCCCGAAAGGGGTACGTAGGCAGCCTTTCATAAGGTTCAGTCCGAAATCATTCAAACCTTTTTTCCTATCTTTTTCCGTTTTTCGTTATCAAGCTGCGACTCGACTAGATCTAGGGTTTTATGTTTGTAACTCGCTGATGGCCCCTGCGGCCAAAGCCTTTGTAATTCCTNTCATTCAAACCTTTTTTCCTATCTTTTTCCGTTTTTCGTTATCAAGCTGCGACTCGACTAGATCTAGGGTTTTATGTTTGTAACTCGCTGATGGCCCCTGCGGCCAAAGCCTTTGTAATTCCTTGTAATGATCGCAACGTTCTTACGCGAATCGGAAATAAGATCGACTTTCTTTATAAATTCGTTTTATTATGTTTTTCATATTTTTTCCGCATTTATTTGGTTACTTGTCGTTGGCTTTCGCAGAGATCTGGTTCCTCTGGAAAATTAGGGTTTTCCTAAGTTTCCTTATTTAACGGAAATCGACAAGTGTGAATTTCGGTTCCCACATGCTCATGTGTCTAAAACCCACACATCTCTAGAAACTATTTTTTCATGAGCAACTAGAGCAATATCGTCATCAGACTTAGCTTCATTCTCTGCTACGGCAGCGAAATCAGCTTTCTTCTTCTTCCTCTTAGGACAATGAATCTTCCAATGTCCTCTTTCATTGCAATAATTGCAAATATCAGTGGGCTTAGGACCCTTTGTAAATGACCTTTTGTCTTTCCCAAAGTTCTTTCCACCACCTACAAATAACCCAGAAGCTTGGTCATCTGCACCAGAACCTAATGCCTTGTGACGCAACTCCCTGCTATGAAGTGCCGACCTGACTTCCTTTAATCTTACTGTTTCTTTACTCCCTATGAATAACTGAACAAAGTTTTCATAGGAGTTAGGCAGTGACACCAACAAAATCAGCGCTGCATCTTCATCCTCCACCTTAACATCAATATTCCTCAGATCCAACATAATGTAATTTAGACTGTCAAGGTGATCCAGAAGTTGTGTACCTTCCTGCATCCTCAGAGAGAAAAGACGCTGTTTCAGAAGTAGCTTTTTAGTTAGAGACTTAGTCATTTATAGACTCTCTAACTTCGACCACAAATCAGCTGCAGTATCAACACCAGAAACCTCGATGATGATCTCATCTGACAGACACAATAAAATCGTTGAATACGCCTTCTCTTCAGTAACCTCCATCTCAGTAGTAACAGCTTCAACCTTCTTCCCTGACAACGGTGTCCAAAGACCTTGTTTCTTCAGCAACGCCTTCATCTTGATTTGCCAGAGACTGAAAGTATTCCTTCCAGAAAGCTTATCGATCTTTATGTTTATCCCATACATCTTCTCACCAGACTCAACCCGAAGCTCTGATACCAGTTTGTTGTGATGGATATGAGAAGATACAGATTAACAGATTGATAAACAATGAAGAACGACACAGAGATTTAACGTGGTTTAATCCACGGGAAAAAAAATACTTTATTTATGGATGCTAGTTTTTCAGAGTACAATTCTTGTTACAGAATAGAGTAAAACCCTAAAGATATATAAGAAAGCGTTTAATGAAACTTTCCATATTTCTCAGATTTGACACAATCGACCGATCCAAAAGCTCCTGGATCGACCGATCTGTGTCAGGCCAGATCGACCGATCCATGACTCCTGGATCGATTGATCTGTCAGATTGCAGATTCAAAGCATATTTCAACACATAATTTAGCAGAAGATAAAGTATGAATAAATATCTATGGAGTTTTTGAGTCAGATGTGGGGAAGATAAATTGAGAAGAAATCGAAGACGTACTGCTTATGGAATCTGTATACTTCTTCTTTCTTCTTTTGAAAAAGGTATCAAGAAACAAAGTAACAGCCATGGAGAAAAAGAAGAAGAAGAAGACAAAGACGAAGACGAAGACAGTTTTAATATGGAGCTTCTCAGCAAACAAGTTATGGGAAATTTATTGGAAGAGGTTTATTTTTCTTAGGGGTTGACTTTCACTGGTGACTTCTTTTGTTCATTTTAGCTTATCTTCTTCATTTTTTTGTGGTAAAAACTAAAATATTAAAACATGGTTTATTAGTATTTAAATGGTATTTTGTCTCTCTAAAATGGATATATAATTTTTCTGTTGTCTTGAGATCTATTTTATACAAAAATTTAGTTTACAGAACTATATCATCTAGAATTCTTTTTTCTTAAATTGGTCTGTTAGTTTTTTCTTGTAAATTTGTTAACAAATATTAGAAATGAGGACGAAAGTACATAAAAATGAATGATGTTCGGAGATCTTTCCATATGGGGGGATGAGCTGGGAAGTCAATCAGTGAACTAAGTAATGTCTATTTTCTAGTTAATTGGACAAGATGAAAGACTTTCGTTGCTTGCCCATACATTTTCATGGTTTACACCAAATTAAAAGAATTTTGGTTCAATTTCGATTCATATGACTGAGGATCATGTTTGATTTAGTGAAATATAGCATATGTTTAAGGGCGGTTTTTGTGTGTGTCAACTAATATAGATGAGTTTAAACCGAGATGTTAAAATCTAGATACACCATATAAATCTTATGTCATCATGGTCAATCTCCATAACGTGAAAAAGTGGGCGACATAACAGGGCTATGTCCGGGAGAGAGAGACGGCGATCAAGACAGATTTGTTTCTGCCTCTGCAAAAGATCCATCACCAATGTTTGGTTCAGGTAAAGGAGTAGAGAGGCAACTAAAAGAATGAAACTTATTGAAGGAGACTTTTATTCATCGGTTCAATTTGTCTACTTTGACCACCGACCGAGTCCAACTAGTTGACGTTGGCCTTCTATGATGTCGTAGTGGCAGGGCCGGTTCTGAGAATTATGGGGCCTAAACCGATTTCTTAATTTCATCTAATTTTTTTAACGGATTTGGAAGCCTAAAAAAAATTTTTTTGGGACCTGTATACATGTAATTTTTTCTAAAACATTTTGGGGATCAAGGCCAATGTTTCATCTAGCTTTGTCCAACGCTGGCCCTGTGCAATGGTGTGGCTTACCAATCAGAACAGTTATAATAGAAGAACTATAGAGGAAGGCATTCACAAGTTGTTTAGTTTTTCAGAGTGTTACTGGATACAAAGGAAAAAAAATATTACATTAACCAACCTCATTTTTTCTTCTAGAAAGGAGAAAACATCATGTTTAAAGTTGTGAGAAAAGTTGTGAGATCATATTCTTTGGAGGTGAATGTCTAACCAATTATTAGTTTGGAGGAGGAAACTTTTTGGAGTGCCGAATTTGAGGAGGTCCAATCAACAAATCAGTCACCACTTCCATTTCACTGTCCTCTGTGTCCAAGTCTTCTGATGTTGTTGATGATGATGCTCTTGGTATTATTCCTCCTCTTCCCATCTCATACTTTTTTTCATTCACACATCCTCAAATTAATACTCTCGTGTAATGAGAAGAGATAATATTATAATAATAGAGCTATAGAGAACAAATCATACTAGATGTAGAGAAGTCATATGTGAGAAATAATTTGTACCTTTTCTGTCAGCATATTATTTTCTGCAGTGAGGTTCCTCTCCTAACATATTGACAAGGAACCGAAAAAAAATTAATTAAAGAACACAATTAGTACATGATCAATATGAAGGAAAAAAGCTAGAGGTTTATAAGCTTTACCTTTTCTTTTAACCTCTCTATTTCTTCACGTAGTAATTGGTACTGAAATTAAGAAATAAAACTGTTGAATGAATTGCTTAAAAAGATATAAGATCTCTCGTACAAAATAACATATACGGTCATATTTTCTAATCAGTGACTCATGAAACCATTCTATCTTACTCATGTATAATGCATATATGCATTGATCATGTGAGTGTGTGTATGTGTAAAAAGTGATCTTCTAAGAATGGACCTATGATTATTCCCTTGATTATATATCAATATATGTTAACTTAAGCGACCCAACCTCCAAGTCATATAGTCTTAAATATCTAGCAAACTAACAACAATTCTTATTTATTTTCATAGTCAAAGTAATATTATCAGAAATATACAAGTACCTTTTTGGCTCGTATTTTGGTTAAGCTTCGCTCCAACTGGTTTTCCAATTGTTGTAACTCCTCAATAGAAGATGTCTCAAGGCCTTCTCCCAGAAATTTCCTGCGAATTATTTTTTCAAACACCATAGTGTTTCATACATATGGTAAATAAAAAGGTATAGTGTCTAATTTTACGTTTATAAAAAAAAAAAAAGTAATATTGTGAGACCGTTTTGAAATCTCCAGTTGTTCAATCTTTCGTGCCAAGCCATAAGTTTCGCCCTTCGCTTGCTGTAAACAAGGTTTGATCATTTCAATATTACACCAAAAAAAAATGAGAAGCTTTTTTTTGGCAAATAAGCAAAACTTTTATCCAAAATTGTGAGAACATAAATGATACAAGTTTATGAGTCACCTTCAATGGGTAAATCAGATAAGTGTAGTGATCGTTATTGATTAGTATGTGTTTAGAAAATGATCCAACATATAAGTTTTTTTCCGAAGGTAAAAGAAGAAAAGTTGATCAATTTATTAAAATAATAACTTCAGAAAAAATTGTTACCTGTGAGTTATTCTCTCTCTTATGGTTAGAACCAAGATCATGTATTCGTTTCTGATATCGTTCTACTGTTTTTGTTATACTGAAAATTTCAAAAAGTCAAAAATTAATTCAAGTCAATCTTACCAAACCAAAAGAAATAAAAGCAAACCGTTGTTAATGAGAACCAAAAATGTAAGGTACATCTTTTTCAAATACTATATATACTCATAACTCACCCCTGGCATACCACAACAAACGCAGATAAAAGTGTTTATGTAACTGTAATATATTTTTATTTTTAAAGGAACATCCCCATTTCACCTATATATAGACAAAGATCTGAGCTAGTAGAATTTTTTATCAATCATCTGCTGAAATTCTGGAATAATGAAGTAAAAACCCTCTATGACTAAATGATGGACATAAATGATGAAAATATAAGCAAATAGATCTAGTCTTGTGGATATGGCCTAATTATGTAATTAAAAAACTTGTAAATTATATATGTACGTGGTTAAGCACCTAGAATCGTGATTATAACCCATCTCGGCTTTGCTATAAGAAACACTTTTCAATTGTATTTTGTCTAACAAAGTACGAACATATCATTAAAATAAACACATAATTAGCACACAGTATCATTTCCTACAATTTATACGTACGAAAAAAAAAATTAAAAATAGAAGAAGCATAAAAAGAATCAACATATTCTGATCTAGTCACATGCTGATGACTCCTTCAGTATCTGTCATCACTGAGATAAAGAGCTTCGTATTATGTGGGTTAAAAGAGTAGCAAATGCCTCTTTGTTGCCAGCATATAGTTACATGATACATGCATCTACCATATATACACACAATCTTTTTTTTTTAATATATATATATATATATATATATATATATATATATATATAAATATATTAGAAAAATAGTTGAATGCATCAGAGACGGTATATAACTTCCGACTTATCAGTACATAAATTTCTACGTATCGGTAAACGGCTCTACCTAGGTTACAGGGCTAAGTAAAGAAGATCAACACAAGCATAAACAAAATAAAAAGAGGTGAGGTTGCACGAAGAAGACGGAGGACGCACAAAGCTATCCAGCTCCGGTGAACACCAGTGGTCATACCGGCTTATGGACTTCATGCATCTAGGGTGTCTAAGTTGTGAGATGAATTATGAGAGTTTATATGGAGAACTTGCGAGAACAATAGAGAGATGAAAATTTTCAATAGAAAAAAAAGAAAACTAGGAAAATATATTTTTTTATTATTTCAATAGTGGCTATAAGATAATATATTTAATTATCTTTCTAGGTAACTAACATAAAAAAATTACTATTAAGCCTCTAACTCTTTTCTCTTTTCTTTTATCATGTCAATACAAGTCCGAACTAGATCCTTCGCTAGTTACCTGAGGAAGACCACTTACAGAATAACCCACAGCCACAAATGCCGGTTTTGAAAGAAGGTTCGACTCCAAACCTTAGCCGAGGTACTCTGCTGAAGACTTCTCCACCGCACAGGTCCCAGGTAACACATATCTTTCTCGGCTCGAGCAAGGAAGAGGAGATTCTGGACCAATCAGAGTCAGATCTTAGGTACCCGCCATCTTGTGAAAGCAAGACCATCGGAACCGTATATCAACTTGACAGTCGGAGACAGAGCCTCTGCATGGATGATTAGCACGAAACTTCTGGTAGTCTCGCCGTCGTCCTCTAATGACAAGTAAAGCTCAGAGGCTGACCAACCCATCATGAAGCTCAAGTTCCGAGTAGAGAGATTCTAACTTCGACCAACAGAGGTGCCTAATTCCATCGAATCCCCACCCAAGAAAAACATGTTTTTCGAGTTGAAAGAAAATAAAAGATGCCTTGTTAGGATTGTGAAAGCCCATGTCCAATTCGTTATTGTCCAATTGGTACGCTATTATCCACTTTGGTTTTAATAGGCAAGTTCACATGGATTTACTTTTGGTTTCTTTCCCAAAAGGCTTCGGGCTAATTAGAGTTAGACTTTTTTTTATATATTAGACACTACTTGTCTAAACTTCCAATGCGGTACGTTAACTTTGATATCTCACATCCCCCTCAAACTATGGACCATACTCATCTCGTGTGTTTTTCGTTCAGTGAATCATCTTGTCACCACCTTGTACCAGTAATCGCATGATTTCCTTTGATAATGTTTCTTTCACAACACCACAGATACCATGATCTTCTGACTAATTTTTGCCACATACCTCCTCTTCCAACTTGAAGGGTCACATTCCTATTCGAATCGTATTTTGATCTTCTTACAGATCTTTTTAAAACCGTTCTGATACCAATTGTTGGGATTGTGAAAGTTCATATCCAATTCGTTATTTTCCAATTAGTACGATATTTTCCACTTTAGGCTTAATAGACAAGCACACATAAATTTATTTTTAATTTATTTTCCAAAATACCTTGTGCTAACTAGAGTTGGACTTCTCTTTATATATTAGACACTATTTGTCTAAAATACAATGTGGGATATCTCACAGTCACAAGGGCATGGTGTAAACTTGCCATTCAAAGGCCGGTAGTTGTTTTCATATACGCACAATCAAAACAAAGTGTACGATACAAACAGTTATATTATGGCCTCAATTGGTGACGTTGGGCGGTGGAGATATGTGTCTAACTGTTAACTATGGTCTGAGATAATCAATCGGCCGTATGTTGTTTTCCAGATCATCCTAAATCTGAATAGTATAATAGGTTTTTATGTTAAAAACATATATTAGTCTAATACTATACTTACTTTCAAAAAATATCTTTGCAAGTACATATTGGTTAAAATTTACATAAGTACAGTACATGTGATTGAATATATGGATATATATATATATATATATATATATATATATATATATATATATATATGTGTGTGTCTCTGTGTGGGCGCATGTGTGTGTAAATTCTACCTACATATTGTGTAAATACACACACACAAACACATGTATAGAGGGACACACCTCTAAATAAGGAAATATTATTTTTTCCAAATCAGGTTAACAGTAACCAAGCGAACTAGAATCTAGCCATCTAGTTTCATATAAGACCTTTTGCCTTATTCAGTAAGAACACTATATGCTCAAAGTAACTGTTACGTATGCAGATTTAACTACTTGAATGGGAATACTTTTTGCTCTTCTTTGTCATAAGTGGTTACTTTAAATGGCATTTCAAGGAAACCGTTTACCCATGTGCGAACCACGCTTTTACCAATGTCTTGGCTTTCAACTTTCTGATTTATCTTTAAAGTTCAGAATTTTCATTTTAGCACACATAAACCACGCAAAATAGTCGACTGATCTAACTAAAAACAAACAAAAAATAAGTGGAGAAAGTAATCATAGATATATATAACCTACTCAAGGATTCATGAAAAATCTACATATCATGATGCAAAAAGATCAATACACAGCGAATGCCTAATTTACCTGGAGGAGCTAGAAAACTCATAGAGCTTGCCTCTAGGAGAGAAGATAACTAGGGCAACTTCGGCATCACAAAGGACTGATAATTCAAAGGCTTTCTTCAAAAGTCCATTTCTTCTCTTTGAGAAAGTCACTTGCCTGCTCGTAGCGTTCTCTATCCTCTTCATCTCCGTTTTTCCCCTCACCATCCTTCTAAATATTAATCAACCCTAATTTACAATCAACACCATGACTTGATTTTGAGCTCTCTTCCCATCCGAATCAAATGATTAAAACGAAGCCAATTAAATTGATTTTAGTACAAATAAAATTACCCATGAAAGAAAACTATATGAAATCCATTTTATTGGAATTTATATTGAGATGAAGAACAATTCTGACCTTCTCGTATTTAATTTGTGTAGAAGATATCAATAACAAACTTACACCAGATTTGAGAAAAAAAGGTTTACCCTCTTTGCTAGTGTGTGTACGCCTTTGATTGATTTCTATATCTAAGAGAGAGACGGAGATTGAGTCTTTGGGAAGAGTCGGCAAGAGAGAAGTGGAATATAGGAAACCCTAAATTTATAAAATGAGGAGCCAATAACAAAAAAAAAACTACTAAATAAAGTATGACTTTTTTGATGCTTGAACTGATAGTATATTATGTTTGAGGGGTTATTCATCCATCGTTAGCCATTATATCTCAATGCCTATGATACGGTCTACAACCCTAGACCAAAGTGCTTAATTAATAAAAGTATACATTGGTATTCTTACATACAGAAACAGCATTACACCATATCCGTTCTTCTTTTGGTAAAAATGTTATATTTTAAGAGCAAAAAATTGGTGGAGAATAGATTCCAATGCATGGTTAATTTAATCACTATATGGAAGTATATAATGATTTCCTTTGTCCTAAGGATCGCAAATTGTTTATGGTATATAATTAATATGTGCTTTAATTTTCAAAAATTGAAAGTTATTAGACATTAGTTAAGGTCAACATCTTTTACAATAAATATGGATACACAAATTTTTTAGTTTGTTCTTAAGAGTTTAAGTTTGACAGTTAAGCCTGCACAAGCTCTAAGGGCTAAAAATTGTAATTAATTCGAGTGATTAAAGTATTTTCCTAATTATGTACATGGTCACTTACTTATCTCATCACCGTAATCAGAAGAGATTTCAAGCTAAACGGTTGAGATCATGACACGTATGTATTATTACCGACAACCTATAGATCCGGTGTCCGTCAAAGTGAGTTAGGAAAATGCACTCGTAGACAGGCAGCACCCCTGTCGGTTGCCAGCTCCTCACGGACAAGAACCTTCACAATCGTCGTTTCATCTCCGTTACCAAAAAAAAAAAACATTAGAGAAACCTTTTTGGGGTAAATATTTCAGAGCATCAATCAATGATGACATTCAGTGGGGTTTCTTAACTATATGTTTTAGTATTTGAATATATTAATCAATTATAAAGTTACAAATCTCAAATGGGTTCTCAACAAAGTTTACATTTTCTAGACGAAAACCTGTTAGAATATGTTTATTGAGGGTTCTTACCGTGAAGTTTTAAGCGGAATATAAGAATCTGTCATTTAACTTTTAACTAAAAAAATTAAGAACTAATTTTTAAAGAAACTATAAACCGGCTCTTAAATATTTTATTTAAGAGCTGGTTCTTAACTTTTTTAGTTAAAAATTAACAAATGGGTTTTTATATTGATATTTAAAAACCGGTTCTTAATTTTTTTAATTAAAAATTAAGAGACGAATTTTTATATTTTACTAAAATTCCCATACTAAAAACCTCTAATAAACATGCTCTTAGTTTTAGTTTTTCTTTCATACTTTTATTTTTTTAAGAGACTCATCAAAATACAATTGATGCTGATGTTTCTAGGAGGTCAGTTTCTATATATATAAAAGGGTATAATATTCTAACTTCTAAGAAAACACAACAATAGTAGAAAGTTATATGTAGAGATCAAATTCAAATGTTACTTTTTCTAACATCCCTTCCTATTATAGGATGATGGTACAATTTTTATATATATTTATAATTTATTTTTGAATATGTGAGCATATGTCTTACTTTATAATCAGACTTGGTTTAGTCATGACATATAACTTTTCTCTGTAATTAAGAGATATCAAGGTATACTGAAAATGCATGGTGACACAAACTTAGTTATCGTTTAGATCATTAATAATAAAGACTAGTGGATCAGTGAATATGTTAGGATATGGATTTCAAAGTCTTTAAGAAAAACGGGTATGACATGGAAACTACATATACGATTTATAATGGTTTATCATAATGTGAGAGTTGTGTTTATCTTCCATTTTTTTTATCTTTCGTTTTTGTTATTAAAACTAATTGTCCCTATTTTTGGTTATTTGGCAAATAAACCTTATTAAAATTCAAAAATAAATATTTCTTTGTTTTTGCTCTACAAAATACAAAACTCTATGACTTTTTGATCATATTCATGCTCGTTTGTCGGTGTTTATAGTGTGTCCAATAAATATTAGTTTCTGATATTACGTGTGAACGCACACCAATTAACCACACTACCACAATCAAATGGTATGTCGATATAACATTTAAGGATCGAATCCACGGAGACCAAATTCTACACTTTATTTCTATAGGGTCAAATTCAAGCTAAAACTAACAAGTGTTGTGAAAATCAAATCTTAAGTAACAAGTAACTAAATGGGTTTAACAATCAGGATATAAAGATGCTAACCTAGGGTATCTCACTGGGTGTTGACCATACTGAACCAAACAATTATTCAAGCTTTTTAAGAACAACCTAGAACTTAGGTTTCTAACTAGAACACCCTGCTCTCGCAGCCGCGCTCCTTTCACGGAAGAGCAATGATTTACTACGCTCTCGCGTGTATCACGACTTAACAGCAAACAGTAAGAACAGACCTAAAATGCTCACATCACACCCTGATATCTACTTTCGCTGATCAGGGATGTGATGCTTGCTCTCAACAGATCTAGCAATCTAATTCAGGATTAATGATAAAAGATTAAACTTGGAATCAAATACTAAGTGATCAAATCAGCATAAGCNAACAGATCTAGCAATCTAATTCAGGATTAATGATAAAAGATTAAACTTGGAATCAAATACTAAGTGATCAAATCAGCATAAGCATTAAGAACAGTGGAGAGCAAAGGCAATAATGATGCTTCTCTATGTTCAGTTCATTGGATCAACACCCTAGAACCCTAGGCTAACAAATCAACTACTCAACCATGACACAAGAGAATACACAAATCATGTCTGAATAATGCATCAAATAAATCAAGTCTCAAGAGGGTTCAGTGATTTCTTCTCTAAAAACCAAGAGGAAGAAGCCATGGCCCTTGTAAAATAACTAGAATGATCTTCCACAAAAACTCTCAAAAACTTGTGTAAAACTATTGTTTTTCTGTCTCTGGTCGAAAATGAGAAGAGAGGAGGCGGCCAGAGTCCTCTTATTAGGTAAAATAGACTTCTGCTAGGGTAGACAGAAGCTTTCCCGAAATAGATCATGGCTCATTAAAGCGCGGGAGCAAGGTGGTGGAAAGGCAGGGGTTGCTCCGCGATGTGTGTGCCTACCCATGTGCTTGCTCCGTGAAACAAAACACTCTCTTCTTGCACCTTTTCACTCATGCGTACCTCCAGTGCAATCCAGCACATTCTCCACCTGAAATGACTCAAAACACACTAAGAGAACTCCAGGATAGCACTTAGATGATATCAAAAACACATGAGAATGGTGTCAAAAACACAACATATCAATTCCCCCAGACTTAGATCCTTGTTTGTCCTCAAACAATGTCAAGTTTCTAGTTCAGTGGGAAAGGTTTGAAAGCGTGGGGACTCTCTCATTTCAGCAACCATACTCTAACCACAAATCTCTGAACCATACAAGCAGACATATTAGGACGATACACTCTTACCAGAACCCCCACTGACTGCTGTTCAAATCGGCTCCATACTTTATATCTCCAACCTGCAAAAGTCATACTTTCCAGACAAAAACTCCTTATATTCATTTAAGATCAGTGTGAGCTTCTTGTCATGGGCATTACTCAGGGTAGACGGTCTAGGTGTGAGACAGGCTTTTCAAGTGTTTAAATGGAGCTAACAAGTGTTTAGGGTTTTACCATGTCTTTGCAGAGGATGCAGGATATTACACANTTCTTGTCATGGGCATTACTCAGGGTAGACGGTCTAGGTGTGAGACAGGCTTTTCAAGTGTTTAAATGGAGCTAACAAGTGTTTAGGGTTTTACCATGTCTTTGCAGAGGATGCAGGATATTACACAAAATTGTCAGAGAGGACGGATCCATTGATCTCCACAGCCCTCACTCGTTTTCTCTGCAGAGCAATCGCTCATCGCTCCTCTTTTCTTTGACAGGTTGCTCTCTTCCATTCAGATCACCTTTCTTACACATTGTTCCATTTCCACTTCAACTCTTCTTTTCTGATCGACCAGGGACACTGTTTTGGTTTTTCTCCTTCTCATCATCTTTCAGAACTCTTGTGACATAAATAATAATACACACCTTTTTTTTTTTTAATGAATAAAATGATGAGTTCAAATGATGATGATGACGAGAAGGAGGTCATTACATGTAGTGTGCCCCTGGTGGTTCTGACTTAGCACTTCTTTCACGATTTTGACTTTTCTGCTCGGATCACTCTACTGACTTGCTCACTTCTGGTCGGATCATGTACCACCTTGCTCTGAAGTGTAGTCTGTGAGCAAAACGAGTGAGAGCAGTGTTGATCCTTTCCTCTCCAGCCCTTTTTGCACATATCTGCACATATGAAACTTTAAAACAGAATGCATGAGGGTGAAACAAAGGTTTTAAGGTTCATGGTGGGAACTAGCTAAAGATGAGCTAGCCACTCAGGATCAACAAGATGGATAGAAAGAATTAAGATGTCCTGAGTGTAATCTCGTTTCCCTAATCTAACGCCCATAACAAGAAGAATTAAGTCAATATTAGGTTTAAGTTAGGTGGAGTTTAAGTCTTTCCAGAATAACCTCTACAAGCAGAAATCTTCTGGAGAGCAAGGTGATGTAAAGTCAGGGAGTGTTCCAGGTCCGGGTGAACGTCTTTCATCACTGCTAAGGTCACTGAATAAGATACTTAGAGCACGAGGTGGTTAGAAAGCATCATAAAATAAGGTCATGATTCCCACATAAGTTTGACTGACTCGATCCTAGGACTGACTCAATAAATGAAAACAAAAACATGACTGACTCAATAAACAAAAACAGAAGCAAATAGAGTTCAGAAACACACAAGTGCCTCCCCCAGACTTACTTCACACCGTCCCTGGTGTGAAAATAAACCTAGAGGCAGCAAACCAGACTTACCTGATACTTACCTGGCGCGGAGCAACCCGACAGAGCAAGGTCGATTTGCTCCTTGGGTGTGCTCTGTCGGTAGAACAGAGGCATCTTCTTTTTTTTTTTTTTTTACCTGAAACTCAGTGAAATAAAAGCAAAATAAAAACTAAAGAAAAGTTCTAAAAATAATTTAAACTCACCAGTGGATTGCCTCCCACCAAGCGCTTGGTTAAAGTCATTAGCTTGACTTTGGTGATGGGGATTAGTTTGCT